AACTGAAAAAATTTAATTCATATATTTGTTTGTTAATTAACTGTACATCGAAAGAAGTTGTTTAGAAATAGAGAGATAGTTATTAGCTTGTTTTTGAAACAATTTGGCAATGTGACAAATTATGTGATATGTAAGTGCATGTATGGATTGATGATAATTATTTGAGTACATATATGATGTGATTAATGTTGATAGAATTTACATACTAAGTGTTGATGTGTGCATGGCATGATCGTTTATGACGGGAGTTTGCTAAGGGAGAAGAATAGTGATAAAATTTATATGGTATTGATGACTTACCATTGGAATAGGAAGCTAGCAAGACTACCAACCATTAGAATTGAAGGGTAGTCATTGTCCTATTATTGTTAAGGAATTGTCTCACTTATTCACTAAGGGACTCGAACCTAACTAATCTCTACCGGTTTATGAAGAGGCTAGCTTAGGGTTACGACACCCCATGGTTGTTAGTATTAACAGAAACTGTGACTTACAAGTAAGTGTAGTAGCATTGGTTGGGTAGCTCCTCATGAGTAGAAGGCTTAGGTAGTCTAAGTTCATAAACATGGCCCACTATATAACTACCGATTTCATGTCAATAGTATTAGGAGGGTATAAGGATGTCATTAACCATATATATTATATCCAACCAAATAGTTATTAGTATTGTGATTTGGCTTAATTTGAGAGGGGCACATGGTTATTGGTATTGTGACCCCATATGTATTTTGATATTTATAATTGATGTGTGTTTCAATATATGATTATGTCCAGTCACATGATTGTTAGTATTGTGGTCATAGAAACCTTTTGAAAAGCATACAAATTCTTGAAAGAATTGTTATTTCCATTTACATCTAATTAATTAACATGCATTTGTATAGGCTAGCTTAACATTAATTACTAAGTGATTGTACTTACCCCTCTTTCTTTAGTATTATAGGAACTAGCTCATTAAATCAGGATCAGGGAAATAACCTAAGGCTTAAGATCTTGCTATCCTAATTATAGGCCTCTTGTAAATGTCATTTATGTGTATTTTGATGGATATATTGCCAACTATGAGAGCATTATTTTTTATTACTTGCACTATTTATTGTTTTAAGATTTATTGATGTACTTTGAGCCACAAGATATTTGTATATGAAAGTTTAATATTTAGACAGGGCCATAATACTAATGCAAATATGATATATATTTATAGGTGGATGATTGTAAGGATTCATGATTGTCCATAATGGATTGCCTACCTTTTTTGTTTTTGTGATCAAGGGGTTGAGTAGTGAAAATGTGGTATATATGTAGTTTGGTTGTTGTGGTATGTTGCACAAATTCATTATAGTCTATTGAGTGTAGTCTAAGGGTTAATGTACATGAGCTTTTGGCACTTGGATTAAATGTAGGACACCCAAGTTTTATATTATTGTTAAAAAGGAGTGTGTTGGAAATGTATGTCCAATTTTAATTAAAAAGTGATTTGATTGTGAAATATGTACTATTAGCTAGAGCTTGAAGTAAACTCTTTGTAGGAACCTAGATCACCTAAATCAGACGTCGATCAAAGAAACGAGACATGTTAGAAGTTTCCCTCCAGTGTTGTTTTATGATAACAAAACTGCTGTCAATTTCATGCAATGCTACGGCACATAGTGTAGAGGTAGATGAGCCGTAACACGTTTGTAGCAAGTCATGGCATATCATTGTGTATTGTGCTAAAATATAATTTTTAATCTAAATGCAAATGCTTTGTTATAAAATGGATTCCCATGCTTTTATAAATGTGTTGACTCTGATTTTGTTGAATAAGGGATTGCATAGGGTTATGATTTGAGGAACCTTGGGATCCTACCTTTATTAACCATACGACTTGGTACTAGTTTCTCTTATTTTGAGAACGAGTCTATGGTATGTGTGTCAAGAGTTGAGATTGGTTGTGATTGTGCATATACATATAGAGTTAGCAATTGTCATTATACACATTGTTTTCCCTTGTTGAGCTAGTACTAACCCGTTTTCTTTATAGGATTACTTCATTCTTAGGAGAGAAGAATAATACAAATAAGGAATATAACTGGCAATGTTCCAGTGAAGATGTCAAGATAAGAAAGAGGAGTGTTGATATGAGGAGATGATATAATTCTAAGTGGACAAGAACGAGTGGAGCTTGGACAAGGTTCAGAATGAACAAGGGAGAAATTGAGACTTTCTATGGGTAGTAACAATGTCCTGCTCGAATTGAAAGCGATAATGAAGAGGATTGAGAGAAGGATAGAACCAAATGCCAATAGCCTAAGGACCACTTAAACTAACCCGCACAGACCATAGTGCACCTGATAGAATAGATAAATATATATGCACACATCTTAAACACATTAAAGCCATAAACACCCTAAATTAACATTAATAAAATCAATATGCACACTCACACTAACATTTCAGCCTCTCACAACAATTTTCATAACATTTACATTAGTCTAGGTTGAAGTACACAAAAATAGCACAACAATTTCATGCAAATGCAAACCAAAATGCATGTCTTGAGTTGGCAATGTGAAAAATTCATATATGTATATATATATATATATATTTGTCAATTACAACAAAAAAGGAGGAGCTATACTATAGATGAGAACTCCTAATTCTTGGCTTTGTCTTTCTTTCCTTTGCCCCTAGCAGACCCTTTACTTGTAAAACTTTAACTATAAGGGTGAGAACATAATCTCCATAAACAAATAATCTAATCTATCTGTAAGCATACTGAAAAAGTATATGAGCATGTAAAAGGGAATGTAAGACAACTTATCAAGAAACATATAGAAAACATTTCATAATTAAACAATGTATGAATTAGACACTCAACCTTATATTCTCCAACTGAATTTATGGGCTAGCAATCTATTAGGATCAAGTTTATATGACCAGACCGACCCAAGCTCACAAATTATATGAGGCATTCTAGCCAAAGGCACTTTTAACCATTCTTAGACCACAAATTCTCCCTTTTGCAACTATCTAAAGTATTGTATGCCTAATCTATCATAATGATAGTACTGAAACTTTCAAACAAGAAAGATTGAGCACCAAAACCTTTAAGATGCCAGTATACCATATGAATTTTAAACAACACTGCTCCTCTAAGGTGAACTCCCACCATCTCACAATAATCATGGTCATGCAATCCAAATAAGCATAGTCACAACACATCATAACTTGCTCCAAACCAATCTCTGGCATTTTCGATTTGTAACCAATTTCACAAATGTGTGTGTGTGTGTGTGTTTTGGCATAAAAATAATTTTTCAAATATATCCCACTTCATATAGATTTCTTAATCTCATTAACCATATATATTAATGCATTACTAATTTAAAACAACATAATATAATTTCACAAACTTATAACCATCCAAACACACAAGTAAAGTAATTAGACTATTTAGGTATCTTAATCCTTTTGTCACAAAAGGGTTATAATGTGGAAAATACATACTCCCTTAGCCTCCACTAGCTCAAAAAAGTCTGATCAATATTTAATTTACAAAATTAAATATTATCAAATTATAACTCTAATAAATACTCTTTTTGGCTAAATTAGAGTACCCACACTATCCAAAATTCCTTTTTAGCCTAACCAACACTCCTACCATTTTTCATTAATTCTATTTAACATCCATAAACCAACATAATACTAAATTTCAACCTACGTTACTTTAAAACATCCAATTTAAGCTTAGGGTTAGTCCAAAACTATAAAATCACAAAACCTAAGTTTAGAAGTTTAAATTAACTCTCCATAGATGCAAAGAACACAATGGGTTCAATCATATCCCAGGGGATGATGAAATCAACATCCAACCTACCCAAAACCTCAAAAAATTAGACAGAGAGGAAGGAGAATGGATGGGAAACTTATCCAAATGTTTTTCTAACTTAAATTGCCTCCAAAATGCTCAAAATGTGAAGCCCTAACAACCAAATGCTCTCCCTCCATCGCCTCTCCCAATCCTTTCTTGCCTCTTCACATAAATCAAATGCAATTTGCCTTTGATTTATTTTAAAAAAATGTCATGCACTACAGTGCAACATACATGCACTGTAGCACATGGCACAACAAGCCACAACACCAATTGGGCCATTCTCTTTGGCCATGTTGACCCCATTCTCTTAGGCCATATTGGCCCAAACTCCATCATAGTCCATTTTTAAGGCTGTGCAAAGATTCAAAAAAATCATTAGTGGTTTGAAAACATTATTAGTTTGGTAAGTGTTCAAGTTTATCAAGTTATCCTTATTAAATTCCCAAGTTCAAGTTTTAAAATTCGAAGATGTTATAGCATGACAGTTCATTTCATTCCTACATAGATTAAATGAACTTAAACAACTCAAAAGCACAGATTTTCAATACAAATCTGGTTTATGCTAAACAAAGTTTTTCAATATAAATTTCCTTAAAATCATATACAAAGATATTAAATTACAATAAACTAAAATAGATTTAAAATACAAACCGTGCAGCTCAAAAATAATTATTCCATCCTCGGAACTTGAAACGAATTCTAATTTTTACTTTTATTTTCAACCCCGCATGGAAAAATAATAATCACACAGCATGTAGGACTTATGTCAAGGAAACATGCAATGAATCTGGGAAACTGGGAAGGGTGGATCTATTTATTACGTTTTCAGGTCAAAAAAAAAAACATACTTCCATAAACATTAAAAATATAATATTACTTTTTTATCTTAATTTATAAAATATTTATAAATACAATTATATATCAATAAAAGTAATTAAACATATTTTATTATTTTATTATTTTAAATTGAGAATATAAATTTTAAAAATATGCATTATTTAACATTTTAATTATAAAAAATATTAAAAATATAATAAAAATAATATTAAAAATACTCTACTAATAAAATTTTATTTTTATCTCCTCATATCTTCTTGTAAAGTCAAATTTTTTTCAAAATGTCTTAATTTTTATTTTTGCGATTCCAAAGGAGTCCAGCTGATTTCCAGTCCTCCACGCACTCGCTTCACGGTAACGACAACACACTCTCTGACCTTGGATGTTTCTCTATCTAGCTCTAATGGCTTCCGTGTGGCTTTGCTCTCCGAAATTTCTAGCCGTCATCGTGCTCCTCTCAGCCCTTCCAATCGGCACAATCATTTCCTTGCATCTAGCGAATCCCCCCACTCACGTGTACTATTACCACAGCAACGGATGGTTCAGAGAATGCGGCAAGTGGGACGATCAAAATCGGCGCTTCATCGTCGGTTTTGTGGAAGGTGGAATCGGTCAGATTCCGGTGACCGGAGTGGATAATGAGGTATTAGAGGAGATACCGGTGGTCAAAGACGTCGACCTGGCGGGAAATTCAACGCTGGGTATTGTCATCGACCCACCGAGAAATCGGCTGCTTGCAGTTCACGCAGAACCATGGCGAAATCGCTTCTCGGCGCTTGCAGCCTACGATTTGCAATCATGGAAACGATTGTTTCTGACTCAACTCAGCGGCTCAGGTAAGCTGCGTGCGATTCTTCTTATTCCTTCCCGAACCCTTTCCGTTTTCCAATTCCTCTTCGTCGCCTTCAACTTGTTTTTAGGGTTAGTTACATGTCATGATTATGGTTTTCCAAAATTTTTTATAAAGATGCTAAAACAAAGCTCAAATTGACCACAAGCTTTTCTCTTTTCAACATTTCTAAGGGATATTGAAGCCTTGATTTGGATGCTGAGAAAAAATGAGAAGAAAATACTCAGAAGGCAAACGTAGGAGGAGAAATTTTTAAAATTTAAAACTTTTATTTATTATTTTCAGAAGTTTTTCTCCGATTTTACTTTCTTCCTTGTTCAGTTTCTCATCCAAACAATAAGCTGAGCCATTCGGGCCAAGTTGGGCCAGCCAGAATAAATTCTATTTTTTATTTTTTATTTTGGGTGAATAAATATAAGTTGTATTTAGATGTGTAGATTTAGGTTGATAATTTGAATTTAAAATTTTAATTTTTTTTATTTGAATGATATAAAAAAATTTAAATTATAATATTAAAATCTTTTATTTAAATCGCAAATAAAATTTTAAAGTTTAAATTATATTTGAATTTAAAAGTAACTTGAACGATGTTGATGGCCTAATCTTGATCAAACCTGATGGCCCAAACTCAATCGACCCTAGCTATCCAAACTTAAACGTCATCAATGGTCTAATCTTGATCGACAATGGCAATTTGATTTCGATTGACGTCAACGGTCCGGTCTCAAACAATGCCTATAGATTAGCCCGAGACAATGACAATAGTTTAAGGGTTGCGGATTGGACTTAAATGACAACACTAAATTATTCCCTGTTAACAATGACAATTAGCACTAGATAATGAAGGCAAATAGATTGAAGATGGTGATCACAGATTGGTCCCAGATAGCAACGGTGGTGGTGGAACAACACTAGTTAGATATGACAGACCATCACTGGGCGATGCATCAAACTGACACCAAATGACAATATTGAGCCGGCATCAAATAACGGTGGCAGTGGCTGACCAGCACCAAGTGACAAAAGAGGAGTGATTGAAAGTGAATTAAAATTTAAAATTTCTAAACCCAATTAACACCGACAATGTAGTCTTGATCAAAGTCAACTGTTTGATCTCGGGCGGCACTAACATTTCAATCCCAAGTGATGCTGACAATCTAGTCTCGATCAAAGTCGGTCACGAGGTCCCAGTCGAAGGCGGCTATTTGATCTTGGTCGAAGCTAGTTATCCAATCTCGACTGGCATCGGTGATTTGATCTTGGTCAAAGTCAGTCATGCAATCTCAGTCAACACTGGACATCCAATCTTGGTCAAAGCCAGCAATCTAGTCCCGATTGACAATGTCAAAGTTGAGAAGGCAATGAAAAAGACAAACAAACACAGAGAAAAAAAGAAGCTCTAATAGAAATTTAAAATAACAAAGGTATAAAAAAGATTTTAAATTACAAAAAAATTGAGGTTTTGAATTTGTATTTGGATTTGGATTAAATCCAAATCTATACATTTTTAATTATCTAAATAATTGATTTGGTTCAAATTCAAATTTATATACATCTAAACATAACATTAAAGAATTTCAAGTCAAACCTAAATTTGTAAGATAAATATTGAAAATCTAAATTTTTAAAATAAAAATTGAAATAATTAAAAAATAAAATAATATTTAATAATTTAAATATTCAAATCGCTCAAATAATTAGAGTCAGGTTTGTATAAGTTTTATATATATATATATATTCATTCAAATACTTTTACCACGATTTGAAAAAGCATGTCCTAAATTGAACATGTCCAGAATAAACTTGGCCCAATGAGTTACCAGCTACTACCCGGGACACTAACAAAGTAACCATTTTCTCTTATAAAACGCTTGCTAACCGTTATAATGGTTACCGTAGGTGACGAGAAATCATTAGCGAACGATGTAGCAGTTGATGCAGAAGGTAATGCTTATGTAACTGATGTGAAAGCCAGCAAGATCTGGAAGGTAGGAGTGGAAGGGAAGCTGAAATCAATTATCAGAAACCCATTGTTCAAGGCAAAAGCATGGTACAAGAACTTGGGGTTGGCTGCATTAAACGGCATCGTTTACCACCCAGATGGGTTCCTCATAGTGGTTCACACATATAGTGGGAACTTGTTGAAGATTGATTTATCAGAAAGCAATGATGAAGTCTACCAAGTGAAGCTAATCATGGTGGAGGGAGGGCCTCTTACTTTAGGAGATGGTTTGGAATTAGTGTCTCAGACTAAACTTGTGGTTGCCGCAAAGCATCCGACGGCGAGATTAGTGGAGAGTTGTGATGGCTGGGAAACAGCTTCAGTGATGGCAACATTCTCAGGGCTGAGGCATAAGCATAGGTCGCCCACAACAGTAACGGTCAAGGATGGTAAGGTCTATATCAACCATTTGCTTGGGATGGGGTATCCTAGAAGGAAGCATGCTTTTGTTCAAGCAGATTTTGGTAAATTTGAATAAACATGTTTTTTTTTTAAATAAAATAGAATAAAGGTTGTTAGTAAAATAATTTCATATTTATCGGAATACGTTCTTGATTATCATGCAATCTAAAGTCTAAGCCAAAGAGATTTGAGTTGCTTGGTGCTAATTCCTTACGGTCATTTTTTTAGTGAGAAAATTAATTATTTAATTTCTATAATTTTAAGTTAGTTGTAACTCTATTTTTAAAGTTTGACTCACTATAATTTCAATTATTTAAAATATTAGTTATATACTTTAAAAAATAAAATTATAAAGCTTAAAATTATTTTAAAATTTAGTGGCTAATATTTTAACTTATTTAAACTGTTAATCTTTATAAGATTATAAGAATAAAAATTTTAAAATAATTTTAATCTTTATAATTTTACTCTCCTCTCTGGGGTCCAATATAAGCAATTTTTTTCCAAAAAAAAAATACATGCCAATAAAGTCATCATTTTTATAAAAATACATAATGTTTCTCATTTTTACTTTTAATCCTAATTACTAATGCACTTTATAATGAATAAGAGATAAATTTATACAAGAATTTACATTAACAAATATAAGATATAAAATAGAGAAATTTGTTTCACTTGTATTAGGTTATCTATATTTTGAACAAAGATTAAATGAAAGAAAATGCTTGTATTGTGGATTAAAGGGAGTATTTTTTAAAAAAAAATATAAGGATTAATATTTTAAATTACCAAAAGTATAGAAATTGAGTTGTATTAAATTAAAATTCAAGGATTAAGTTATAATTAATTTAAAATTATAAATATTGAATTGCAATAAATCAATATTCATGAACTAAATTATAACTAAATTAAGATTATAGAATGTCTTCCCTTCCTTTAATTTAGTGCAAGCTGCAGCCACAAGATTTATCTGATTGCATTTTCACGTGACATATGGGATTGCGATGTGGCGTATTGGTTTGGGCCTAGCCCAGCCCAATTAGTCAGTGTTGTTTATAACGTTGAAAAGTCTGTTATGACTTGTTTTGTTATCCGGTTGACGATTTGTCATTCAGTTGAGCGATTGCAAGGGGCTGCTTAAAATTGTTTTTATTTCATTATTTTAAAAATTAATATTTTATAGAACATGTTTTAAAAATAAAAAAATAAAAAAATAGGTGTTGTTTTATTCTTCCTTGTTTTTCAGAACAATAATCACAAAACACTTAAAAGTTATTTCAATTTTTCTGTTCTCCAAAACAATATTTTATTTTTTCTTTCTTCCAAATATTTTTTTAAAAACACATTACCAAATAGATTTTTTTATTTTCTTATTTTAGAAAATAAAAAATTATTCTTAAAATAGGCTTTCAGACAGACCCTAACTGTCTCTATGTGTCTATGTGAAGCAATGTGCTACTCTAACTATTCAGATTATAGAGAGTATTCATATTCACACTTGAATGTGCTGTGTTCTTGCATGCGGAAGCCAAAGATCACATTTCACATGTCATTTGCTGATTTTCCCTGTAAATTTTAAGTAAAAAAGTTATTTATTAATTAATATTTTAAAGGAGTAAATTAATAAGAAAATTTTGATAAATCAAATTATGAAATACTTTGTTTACAAGAAATGAAATTTAAAAGATAACTATGCACAACTAGATTGAACATAATTCCATGTGAGGAACCAAAAGAAGATCTTAGGAGTGTTTTTTATATTACTCTAATTCAATAAATAGTCACTTTATTGTATAAATAATATATATAATAACATTTTGGCTAATGATATATTATTATAACTTTTATTATAAAGTAAAATACGTTCACATCCCTTCTATTTTATCTTAATTACATATAGCCCCTTCTGTTTTAAAATCCTATACAAACCTCCCATAAAGTCAATAATCACAAAACACAAACTTCCCTTTTATTTAAAAGATTTTATTTCCATCCACCCAACAATTAATTAACTGTTATGTTACATTTATTAGACAAAAATATACCTTTTTAAATATAAATATTATATAAAAATCACTTAAAATACCAAAAGCAAAGTCATGCATTTTTTTTTACTTTTTTATTCATATTTTATTTTTTATATATGTAAAATTATTTATTTCAGAATATTTTAAAAAAATAAATACAAACATACAGAAAAAAATTCATGAAATAGATACTAAGAGACAACTTAGTTAATATAATTTATGCTTATTTTTCTTAAAATTTTATTAATTTCAAAAATTATTTTTTTAATTATTTATTTAAATATTATCATAATTAATTATTTATAGTTCATTAAATTTGGAGAACTACACAATTCAATTATAAGGGTAAATTAATAATTGTAATTTTTTCAACATAATTATAATTAAAAAATAAATATTATAGAATCTTTAATGAAATATCCTTAACGATGTCAAAAATTAAACTAAAGTGTATATTTTGAAATATAAGGGAGGCCCCTATAAATTTAGTAAAATAAAAGGGAAGTCAGAGTATTTTATTCTTTAGTATAAGAAGCACATCTTTTGAGTTTTGAAAAAATAAAAATAAAAACTATGAGAATAATTTACCATAGTTCTTACTAATGGGAAAAAAAGAGGAATCACTCCATGCTAACCTAGTTTAACAACAAAGTTTGCGATTGATTAAAGATACGAGAAATTCAAAACCATTTATAATCTTGAAATTGCAACCTCTACTTATACTCCATCTTGCTACCATTGGAATGTCACGAGACTGTATGGATGGGCAAAGTTATTTGCTTATTTGTTTTTGTTCTTTCCTTAGTTTAAAGTTGATTAGTGCCTTGATTTTTCTGTAACACAGTTTCAATGTATTCTACCGGGTTTTTGTGGTCCTATGGATACTTTATGTTGCTTAATTTCTGATCAATTTTCAGAATCTTTAGTTTGAGAAGTCACTGAAGCAGAAAGACATTCTCATGTCTTTATGGGGCAGAACTAGATATGGATGGTGATGGTATGTAATTTCTTAGAAAAATTATATATAAATCTCAACAAAAAAAATTAAATATCACAAAATTCACTGAACTAAGACTATTGACAACACAATAATTTTAGTTCAATTATTAATAAATTTTATAATAATTAATTTTTTTTATATAAAGCTTTAACATAATTTTCTCTAATTTCTTTTTCTCAGATTTTTTGAGTTAATGAATCTCTTCAATGAATGGTCAAATCCAAATTTTATTAGAAACTGATAAGATATGTTCTTATCTTTATGGCATTTCTTGATGCTTCTCCTGCATTACTGTTAGGGAGGTACTTAGGTTAGAGCCTATAGGGGCAATTTGTAATATTCACCTTAATAATACCAAGACACAAAACACGAGACACGTAATACTAATATGATAATTAAGATTAATTAAATTTTTTGATATTAAATTATCATAATATAAGGATTCTAAAAGAATAGTTTAAAAGATTAAAATCTTTAGAAATCCTTTTTAAAATAATGTTTGAACTCAAATTATATTTTAAAACAAGTAAAACGAATTAACGAAAGCATGAGAACAAAAATCATAACATACAATAATCAAAATTGGGCAATTTGGGCAACTCACAAAATTTGATCGGGAGAATTTAATATTTTTAACTTAATGTCCGCCCCTATTAAATGTATAAAATGGCTTGCTATAAATTTTAGCTTCTTTGTCAAATATTAGCAAATAAAGTGGACATTAAATAAGAATAGAACTCTAAAAATTGAAATAGGTTTAAGATATGAATTAGTCAAGTTAGTTTAATTGGTATGTGAAATTTAGGTAATTTTGTCTCATGAATAGAAATGGAGAGAGAAGTTATCCTTTTTTGAGCTTAATCTATGTATCATGTCTGTGGAAATTGTTGAAAGGATTAAGGGGAGAAGAATATTAATAACAAAGATAATAAAAACATTTCATTAATCAACTCAATAAGCTTCTTTGGACAAATAACCATTGAGATTGATATTTTTGAATGAGGATGCATAAGATCAAAAATGGTCTTGCACTTTAGACATTTTTTTTTATGAGCATCTGTGTCCTAAGCCTACCCCCCTCGAGCAATAAGAACTTAATGGGGCTCAAATTAATATAGATCAAGGCATGACAAACACCATAAGAGTGGGTGCTCCTAGCCACTTGTGCTGTTGCATTCCTAAAATTTAAACCAAAGATCTCTGATTAAAAAGGAACAACTCTTGCCAATTAATCCAAACACTCATGGTTGCACTTCAGACATATTTAAATATGTAGAATAAGTAACCATCAACAAGTTTCGGATGAGGGGAATCAATAATAGTGGGAGAAGAATATGCTCAACAATGAAAATGATTTGCTCTTTGTAAATTGGCATATATAGTTTCTACTTTTACCTTCATTTTTTCTTCTTTCGAATTAGGGGAATTATGGACACCTTATTTGCAGCAAGGTTTTGATAAAAACAAAGAGCTTGTCTTGCAATTTGTTTTGGGAGTATTTTTCTATCCTTCAGGATGAAAGAATTTAAAAAAATTATTTTATAACGTATTTTTAGAAAGTTTTTTAAAAAATAAAAAATAAATATTATTCTAGAAAATAAAAAAAGGGTAACATTTTTTAGGTGTTTTAAAATTATTATTCTAAAAAATAAGAGAGAATGTAAAAAAAACACTTTATTTTTATTATTTTTTTTATTTTCAAAACATGTTTTATAAAATATCAGCTCGCAGAACAATGAAATAAAGGGTTAAGGGATAAAAATATTCACCAAATGATTAGTCATAAGCATCCAATAGCTTAAAGTGAGAAAAAAATACCTTTAACATTATCAAAATTAGTGCAAAAGTGAACAAACTGTTAACTTTGCATTAACACTATTAGTTTTCGATATTAAATGCCAATTGTGTGTTGCTGATTATGCTTGCCACGTGTCAATCTTTGTTGATGTTGATTAAAAAGGAGGCAAAAATACCTACAAAGTTGTTGGCCATGAGCGTTCAGTAGTTTAAAGTGAAAAAAAGGGGCAAAAATACCCATAATATTACTAAAGTTGGTGCAAAAATGACTAATCTATCAAATCTCTTAAATGTTGACCATTTAACTGGTATCTAAGCAAAAGTTGACTTTTTTAAAGTGATATAAACAAA